TCTTCTTGCGTCAGGTACTCGTAGAAGCTCTTTGATCTCTGGCTTTTCAAGATTCTGCTAAGGTCCTGTGTTGATCATCTTGTGCATGAAGGTTGTTAGTTGCTCTTGAGAGCAGCTTTACGCCAGTGCGCATATAATTCATCTAACTTCTGAAGCACTTCCAGTCAGATGCAGAAACGGTGCCACATGTCACCAGAGCAAGTTCAAAATGTCAAGTTGCTTACTTAAGCAGAGTAATCCAGGGGATATTCCTTGAAAGCTTGATGATACCATTGTCTTCATTGTAAATGGAGATGCAGTGGTCCCCTGCGCTGGAGTACAACGACAGTTTCTCATGCTTGCCCTTGCCGAGGCCCTCAGGTTTAGCAAAGACGATAACCTTTGATATCATTCCAGGCTTTAAGTTTCTTTATAGAAGTAAAACAAGGCTGGCACGGTGCCACCCTGTAATTCTAGCACTACTGGAGGCCGAGGCAGCAGTGCTCAAGGTCAGGGTTCAAAACCAGGCGCCTGAGCAAGAGACGAGACCCATTCTTACTATAAGATACAAAGAAATTAATTGCCACAATATATGTAGAAAAAAAAATTAGCTGGGTCTACTGGCAGGTTAGCGCCACGATGCCGTAGTCCCAGGCTACTCAGGGGAGCTGAGCGAAGGTACAGGATTGTTTGAGCCAGGAAGTTTGATAGGTGCGTGCTTGTGTGAGGTTAGGTGATGCACGCCACTGTCAGCTCTGGGCGTCGCTGGAGCAGGACAATGAGCGAAGACCTCTGTTCAAAAAAAAGAAGGAGGGTGAAGAGCAGCTTTTGCCTTCTTGTAGCCTTCAACTTTTATCTTTGACCACCAAAGGAAGTTCAGGAACTTCCTCTCAAAAAAAGACCTTCGAACCTCTTATTGACTTATCGAACTCAGTTGACTGGTAAAGCGAATGAGCAGCCTCAGGTCAGACACATATAGGTCGGCCAACACCGGCTTCTGTCTTGTCGGTGAGTCGTTACAAGGTGCATACAGTGCTAGCGACGCTCACTCAATGCAGTCTTAATATGCGTGCATAAATCTATATGCATGTCGGTCCAATCAACACCATAATTTTGCCAATAAGCTTACCCTGGCAGGACATGAAAGCAGGTAAGATCCAATCACACCTACTGCATTAGCTCTGGATGAAATCCTAAGACAGCACATCCATGCCGAGTGACCCAGGAGGTGTCGAAGCCGTCTGACGATTGAACTCGGAGAGAGTGTCGCGAGATTGCTGTTGACACACGAGAATCAGACATGCCTGGTGGTTTTTGCGCAGAGTTGGTTGAGGAGTGAAGCGGAAGTTGCACAAATTATTCAATATGCCAGACTATCGGTCAGAAGAGCACCTTGAGCAGGCTATGAACAGGAGCTGTAGAGCATATGCAACGAAGTGACATTTTTGCCAGATGAGTCCCCTTTCGGAGTACACCGGTGATCAGTGGACGAGCACAAGCCATGGTGGAGAGGAGAAGGCCATTCATACATTCTTGAAAAAGGAGGAGAGAATAAACTAGATCCAAAAGCGGTTAAATAGTGGCCCTTTTTGATTGCTACTGCCATTAATATTCTAATACATCATTCAGTTACTGTCAACTCAGCATGAAGAGTTTATTACCTTTAAATGACATATTTAAACTCTGGCATCAGGTGGGTGGTGCGTCACACCTGTTGAGAGTCCTACATTCACTGTAGGGTCCTGAAGAAGAATCCACTGAAAAACCTGAGAATCATGTTGAAGCTAAACCCATATGCAAAGACCATGCGCCGGAATACCATTGTTCGCCAGGCCAGGAATCACAAACTTTGGGTGGATAAGGCACCTGCAGCAGTACGGGCCAAATCAGATGAGAAGGGGGTTGCAGGCAAAAAGCCTGTAGTAGTGAAGAAAGGAAAAAAGCTTGTTGGTGTTAAGAAGCAGAAGAAGCCTTTGGTGGGAAAAAAGGCTGCCTCCACCAAGAAACCTGCACCCGAAAAGAAGCCAACAGCTGAAAAGAAACCAGCAGAAAAGAAACCTACCACAGAAGAAAAGAAGCCTACTGCATAAACTCTTAAATTTGTTTATTCCGTAAAGGTCAAATCATTTTGGACAGCTTATTTTGAGTAAGGACCTGATCAAAGAAGCAGTGAAAAAAAAAAAATAAGAATGTATGAATGGTGTTGCAATAAATATCATCCCACATATAGATTTTATTTTGGATTAGAGTGCCAGGAAATACTTCCGTAAGTAGAATTACTGAGCCAAAAGGTAAGATATCATTACCCAAATTCTTTGAAATGTGTAAATTATACCACTATCACCAGCATAATGTGCGAGTTTTATGACATCTTCTTTTCATGGGGCATTATCAATTGAGAAATTCTGTTAATAGGTTGATTAAAAAATATTATACTTGAGAGTTTACACCATGCCAGACATTATGCTAAGAAAGATAAATGGTACATCATTATGGTGTTCAAATTAATATTTTTGATTCCTTGTAATATTTGGACTTTTTAGGTTTTTTTAAAGAGACAAGTTCTCACTATATTGCCCAGGCTGGAGAAGAGTAGTTATTCAGAGGCTCAATCATCACACACTACAGCCTGCAACTCCTGGGCTAAAGCTATCCTCCTGTCTCAGCCTCCTGAATTTTGGATGTTTTGTATGCGTGTGTCTAGCTAGCTATGTTTCTCCACTGTCTTTGTTTATTGTTTATTTGTCTATTGAAGTATTCTTACTAATTAACATCTGCTTTGTTTCATAAAGAATTTCAGTTAGATTACTAGGGTCTTAACATTTTAAATCACTTTTATGACCTTTATGTAATAAAAGCATTATGTTTGTGCATGTTTTTATATCATCAGTAACTCTTATGATAGATTAGACAAGTTATTTACTAAGTACCTACCGCGTGCCACAGTTTTTGATGTCGGGAAACTTAGTGATGAATACCTGCAATCAAAGAATTTATATTCTAGGGAGGGGAGACACTCAATAAAAATGAAAACAAGCACATAGATAACTTTAAATTTTAACAATGGTTATGAAGAAATTACGATAGAACAATAGACAAAATGAGGGAGTGACTTTGGCTAGAATTAAGAGGGAAATCCTTTATAAGATGAGAGATGAATGATTAGAAGGCAGCCATGTTTAACACTGGGGAAAGAGCTTTTCAAACAGGAGGAATAGAAAGTGCCAAGATACAGGAACCACTAT